GGACATCCCTGACAGGATCACGGTGTTAGCTATAAGGGAATATCCCTGACAGGATCACGGCATTAGCCATAAGGAAAGATCCCTCACAGGACCACGCGTTAGCCATAAGGGAACATCACTGACAGGACCACTGTGTTAGCTTAACCCTCTTATCTGGAGAAGCACACAGTCTGGTCGGTTAGATGTCATGTGTCACTGTGTCTTATCTTGCTGTCTGTTTTGTTACTAACACAGGGCTCATGAACAGCTAAATGTGAAACACGAACCTCTGCAGCTCATCCAACCGCAGTTTGAAACACCGCTGCCAGCCCTGCAGCCGGCTGTGAGTAGGTGTGCTGGGGGAATCCTGCTCACGGTGCCCCCTTACCTTGCCAGCTGAGCTTAGACAAGTGATAGAGGTGCATTGCGTTTACCTGCCTAAAGCCTAGCTTTAGACTTTAATCTCAGTTTAAACTGTCACAGATTATTTAATTGTTAACATTGACTAAGTTTTAGAAATTTACTAAAATGGAATGGAGCAAGCCCTTGGAGTGAGGCTAGCTAGGACCCAAGTTGCTATCTAGATCTCGGTGGTCTGAGCACATCCCCTTTTTGGCTTTCCTTTTGTCCTCTTTTACATGAGAGCTACTGGCCCTTGGCTGGTTGATGGGTGATGGGTGGGTCTCCCGATGACCGGAGCCGAGGGCACAGCTGTCTGTGGCACTCACATGGCAGCACTAGGTGGGGTATCAAGTTTACAGTGAGCTCAGTGGTGAGCAGGGAACTCCTACATGTGGAGCAGCTGCTGTCCCTGTAGTGGAACCTGGGGACAGCATTCACCGTGAATACTCCTGAGGAGGAACTGGTTCACGGGGACAGGTGCAGCTGATGGAGTTCCCAGGCTTTCCGGTTGGTTACAGGGCGTTTCCAGACTTGTTATCATATTTTGTCGTTGTTATTATCTTAGCCCCATTTCACCGATGAGGAAACTGTACTTGCCTACTGTGAGTGCTACAGTTGGTTCCAGCCCAGTGACGTGCTGGAGCCAGTTTACACTAGTTTGGAAGAGGTGATTGCTAACTTTTCAGGAATGTTATGTGCCAATTTGCTTCATCTTGATAGCTTGAAGTTGGCTATGGTAGGAATATTTATATAAAAGAAAATGGCAAATGTTACATATAGATCAGGGCTTTGGTTTCCTTTCAGGTGCTGGTAGTAAAACATTTACCATTACACCATTGGGCGACAGTGAATTCAGGCTCCAAGTTTAGAACTTCCTGCACTCATCTATATTTGCCTGCCCAGATAATGTCTGTCCCTAAAGAACTCATGGTTAAATCAGAAAGAAAATATATAATCAAATGATTAATACAAACCTAAGCCCTAAGTTTTGCACCCTTGAGCTAATTGGCATTCGCACGTCGGGTCACTCAGTCTGGTGGTGTGGTTCTGCTTGGCTGCTGACAGGTGTAAGTGGAGTGAGGAGGGCTGAGGTGCTGATGGACTCCAGGGTGGCTTAGCCCAGGGCAAGGGCTGCGGTTGCTCTCATTTCCCTGAGTCTCATCATTGTCATTTCTGACCTTGGATAGCTCTTTTATATAAGGTCTTCTTTCCTTGTAGGTTTTCCCTCCTAGTTTTAGGGAACTACCACCTCCTCCTCTGGAGCTGTTTGACTTAGATGAGACATTCTCCTCTGAGAAGGCCCGACTTGCTCAGATTACCAATAAGTGTAAGTTGGCGAATTTGTCTATTTGGTGTGAAGGGTTTTACTTACTGTGAACTTATGAACAGGAATATAATTTTTATATGTATTTTTTTTCATGTCAGTGATGCTGTTGGTCTTTTTTAAGAACGGCTAACTTACTGGGTTAGAACATGCTACTAAGCAGAAGCCAAAGATCTCAGCTTTAATTCCTAGGAGTTCTTAATTTGATTTGTTGAGTGACCATAGGATGAACTCAGCCCTGGCTGGGGTATTGGTCATAGAACAGTTACATTTCAAACCTAAGCCAGAGCCAGAAGACTGATGGGCTCCAAACTGGGAGGAATCTTAGAGAGGGCCAAGTCTGCTCACTATCACTGGTGGATGAGGCACTGAAGCCTCGGCCACATAGCTACCTGGTGAGTGGTCCTCTGGACTCTTGGCCCAGTGCTCTTCCTGCCCTGCACTGGCTCCAACACAGCAAGTGGGAGATCGAGAAAGGTTACAAAGACTATCACTACAGTATTTATTAAAAAATAGAATAGGGAACAGCCTTCGTGCCCGCTAGCAGGGGAGTGGTGGTAAATTGTGTCCCAGTTAGTGGGATAATCTGCAGTCATTATAAAAGAGAATCATAAAGTCAGCAAGACGTCAAACTACATGTACAGGAGGACCCCCGCTAGGTAAACCACATGTGCATGAGACCAGAGGCCAGGATGGGGTGTGCAGGAAGGAAACAGGGCCGTGTAAAAGGGATCTGGTCTGTGGCAGGCACTGTGGTGGGTGCTGGGCAGGCCAGTGTTAACAAGACACCCTGATTAGCCAAGTCAGATAGATAATAGGTCCGTGAAAACCAGATACTCAGCATTTCTACTTCTAGTCATTTATCCTGTAGAAATATTTCTGTTAAAGAAAAAAAAGGATATAGCTGTATAGGTGTTAGTTGCCTTGTTGTATGTTGCTGATAAGTGCCACAGAGTCGGTTGTGACTCATAGCAACCCCATGTAGGATTTCTGAGGAGTGGCCGGTGAGTTTGAACTGCTGACCTTGCAGTTTAAACTGACCTTGAGGTCCAGTGTGTGTTCTACGGTGCCCACAACATGACTCCACTTGTATAGTATTCAAAGAGTTGGAAACAATATAATGGTTTGTCTGCTATTAGGGGGATTGGAGAAACAATGATAAAATCTATGGAGTATCGTCATGTGTCTGTTACAGGAAGGATATAGAGCGTCCACATTCAGCTGACTTGGAATGTCCTATGGGGCACATTGCTCACGAGAAGGCATCTCACAGAACTAGTGTGTTGTCGTTAAGGGCCGTTGAGTCAGCTCCAACTCAGAGTGACTCTTGCATAGTTTCTGAGGCTATCAATCTTTTCAAGCTTTTCAGAAAGTCTTATTTCTTCCACAAAGCAGCTGGTGTGCTCGAACCACCGACTTAGTGATTCACAGTCCACTGCTTATCCTGTGTATACTACTTATAGCAGTAGTACCCCTAGATCGGATTTGGTGGGGATGGAGCTAGGTGAGAGGTGATGGTTTGAGGACCCCTGGTGTAACGCTGTAAGATACTAAGATACGCACTAGACCATAAGGTTGGTTCGAACCACAAGTTCGGTGGTTCAAACTCACCAGCCGCTCCTTGGAAACCCAATACAGGGTTGCTATGAGTTGGGACCAACTTGATGGCACTAAACAACATATGGTTTGAATATCTTGCTAAAAAACTTATATTATCACTATTACACCTTACTTTAAAAACGCAATCAGAGGGGAGAAAAAGGAAATGACCGAATATTAGGAGCAGGGTAGTAATGGTTGTTCATCCTAGATACAGCACTGCAGGGGGTGGCTTCACAGAGCTATGTTAGAACTATATTGCTCTTATCACCATGTTTTTAAAAAACAAAAACGTCCTATACGCTTTCTATAGTAGTGCTTGTGGCCTTCAGAGCAGGGGAAACTGATTGCCTACTGATCATTCCTGTTCTTTATCATGTGGGGCGTGCTGGGCCTGGGGCTGTTGTGATTGTCATTCCTGGTGGGGTGCTATAAGATAAGCACTGGGCCCCAAGGTTGGTTCTTTGTAACTTGAGAGTGCGGGGTGTGGGAGTGTTGTTGTTTTAAGTGCTGATGAGTTGGTTTCAACCCTTGGCGAACCCTGTATAGGGTTTCTGAGGAGCAGCTGGTGAGCTTGAACCACTGACCTCAAACTGACTTTGCAGTCCAGCACATTAACCCACAGCGCCACACCAGGACTAGGAAAGCTTTAATTCTCATTAGTAGGGTTCCACTCTTTGTCCTGATTTACAAAAGCAACATTTCAGAAGTTTCTAGAGTTTGTCACCCTAGGAAGAAGTGAGTAACATAGGGACTTTTCAGGGGAGACCTAAACCACAGTAAAAATGTAATTTGAGAAAGGTAGAAGGCCAAGTGTTAATCAGTCTACCCTAACTGTGCTTAGGTACCGAGGAAGACCTAGAATTCTATGTCCGGAAGTGTGGTGACATTCTTGGAGTGACCAATAAACTACCAAAAGACCAACAAGATGCCAAACACATCCTCGAACACATCTTCTTTCAAGTGGTGGAGTTCAAGAAGTTGAACCAGGTACAGACCCTAGGAAATTCAATGCAGTGGTGGTATCATCCGTAAACTGTACCCCTCATGTTTGATGCCATTCATTCTGCAGCTATTCAGTAAGCATCTACTATGTGAACAAAACAGACCATGGTCCCTGCCCCTGTGGAACTTACAGTCAAGCTGCAGGAGACAGTAACAGTAAACATAAGTAAACCACAGAATATGCTAGAAGGTGGTAAGTGCTGTGGCCTAAGACAAATGGAGCGGGGTAAGAAGGATCAAGTATGCTGAGTGGAGTGGCGACTGGGAGTTGTAGGAAGTGTGGTTGATGCTGTAGTACAGTCCAGGTGTAGAGAAAGTTGGCCGTATAGATAGCTGGGGAGGGAGGGGTATTCCAGGCAGTAAGGTTAGATGGCTTGCGCCTGGAAATGTGAGGAACAGCGGTGATGCTAAGGTGGCTGGAGAGCGGAGCAGAGGATCCATCAAGGAACACGAAGTCAGCATATTATGTTAGAAATCCTTTCTCTAGACCAAGGACCAAGTACTTTTAAGATTATGCTTTTGGTCTGCCTTCTTCCTATCCTTGACATAATTTCTAAAATTAAATGCCCATATCCAGAGAAGCAGTGACATCAGAGATGTAGGCAGACACCATGACATGGAGAGAGAGTGGCTGGGGTCTCTGGACTCAGGGAGAGGGGCTGTGTGCTGACAGCCAGGGGGCAGGCCTGCAGGGTGTAGCCTTTGGTTGTTTGATGGTGCATGGAGAGGATTGTAATCATTGCAGTGAAATGAAATGTGATAGGATGTATGTAAAGCCGAGGTTCTCACATGTAAACTGTCACTCAATTCACAATAAAAACTTAAAGAAAAAAATTCAAATACCCAACCAGTGTTGGAAAGCAGGTATTCCTACACTACTGATAGGAAAATAAATTGTTTCCACTTTTCTGGGGAATTTTTTTTGTAATGTTGTTCATAAGTCCTAAAAGTACCTTTGACTCAGCAATTCTGATCCTTAGAATTTATCTTTATAGTTTAATCCAAATGTGTGCAGTTTTATCAGCCAGGATACTTGCTTGTAGTATTGTTTAAAAAGAAAAATATTATCAGGAGGGAACGGTACCAATGAATAGACCTAAGTGATTTAAGGCACACCCACAACATTAAGATATTTTAAAAGAATACTTATGGACTTGGGAAGCCAGTGGCGAGGGTAGGCCATACATGAGTATATAAAGAGATCTCATGTTTCTTTACAAAGCACATGGATTCAGAAGCTTTGTGGAAAAAAATCTATTATCTTTTCATTGCAATTTTCCATGAAGTTTTTAAAGCCTCCTCATAGGTATATAGTATGTTGTTGTTGTCGTTAAGTGCCGTCGAGTCAGTTCCGACCCATAGCGACCCTGTATAGGGTTTCCAAGGAGTGACTGGTGAGCTTGAACCATTGACCTGGTTATAATGACTTTGCAGTCTGGCACTTTAACCCACAGCGCCTCACCAGGACTCTCTATAATTTGCATAATAAAAACAAAGATATTCATTAAAATGTATAGAATGTACAGTGTTTCCCTAGATATTTTTTTCTATAATGAAGTTTCTGTAATGAATATTGTATCATTTTGGGCAGGAAAAAAAAAAAGCATATATATATATATTTTAATATAAACAAGTAAAATAGCAGCTTAGGATTTTCCCAGCTGAGTGGAAAGATCAGTTAGCAAGGATCCTCTCCTCACTGGCAGGGGCCGGCTCTGTTAGGCCTTAAGTGGCCAGTTGACTGTTCACCTCCTATGCGCCGGGCCTACAGCAGTGAACAAGAAGAATGCAGCCCTCCGAGCTCGCTCCAAGCTGCGTCTGTGCACATGGGCAATCACAGCACTCTGAGAGAAGTGTCATGTGGGGGCTGTGTGGACCTGTTAGAGCTGTTCCCCATTGCAGTGTGCGATGGGGCTTGGATAGATTCCCAACAATCCAAACCCTAGTGGGTGGCAGGACAGGCCCCCCTCCAGGCCAAGGGGAGGGAGCTGATATTTATCATGGTAGGTGTTGGTCAAAGCTTCTTTCTGGTGTGTGCTCCAGTTAATGGTGATTCAAAATCTCTAAATCCAAACCAGGAGTTTACCATTTTGATTTTGTACTAAGAGTCTGTCTTATTCCCTCCCCCAGGAACATGACATTGACACAAGTGAAGCAGCATTCCAGAGCAACTGCTGAGCCCACACCTCTGAAGCAGCTTCTGCCTCCTGACACTCTTGTAGACGGTTTTTTACTTTTTCCTTAGCGCCTCATCAAACCTGTCTAATCACTCTCACTTCTGTTAGCTTTGAAAGGTCTGTGTATTTTCAGTAGTGCTCAAATAGGTATACAATTTCTAACTTTCAAAGCCCTATGTAAATTCCTTTTTTTTTTTTAATTAAACCTATGATTGACTCTTTTATAATTTATGAGAGTCTTCACGGAAGTATTTTCTTTCAACTTCATTTCTGGATTTGAGTTTCTTTTACCGAAGACGTCAGTATTCTCAAGCTTGGTGTCAGCATTGCACAGCTCTCAGGATTGTTAACAACGGTATGGTGGACATGCGCAGCAGTACTGGAATACAGTAGGTGCCAACTTTGGGGAAGCTAGGAGCCACTGAAAGGTGTGTACAGGTGGTGGCCCAATGTGAAGTGTAAGTATAGGAGTGGAGAGAGAAGGCCATCATTTATGGGGAAAGTGTGACAGAACTTCACAAAGTAACAAGGATGAGGCCGAAAGGAGCTGTGGAAGGAGGTGTGGTATTGTGAAACAGATCTGGTCTCGGGGTTGAGGTCAGACTGGCTGTCGGGGAGAGTGGTGGAGCTGTGGGAAGGCAGGGCTAGCTGGAGGGAGAGAAGGTTTGAAGAGTAAAAGCCCAGTTGACATTTATGTTTGGGACAATGGTAAATCATACAAGACAAAATAAATGAAAACACCTGAGAAGTACAAAAGATGTCAGGTCTGAAGTTTGTAAGTTTCTCATGAGACTAGTTTGTTTAAAAAATAACACTTTAAAAAGTTAAAACCTTGGGAAGAAAGGATCAAGTCAAATCCTGAATTTCAAGTGATTTAAAAGTTCTGTTCATAGGCTTCCCCTCTCTGCCACACTCAAGTCCTATTCAGAGGTGCCAGCCCAGGCAGAGTGCTTAGAGGCAGGGAAGGTTTCCCTTTGCTCGGACAGCAGAGTCGGGGGGTCAGCTGAGAGACAAGAGCTGAACACTGGGGGATACTGTGGAAGACTGTATTTTCCAAAAATGCATTAAACAGTTCTCTCTCAACCATAGAGTCCTGTTGGGCGCTGTAGAATAAGCACTAGACTGCTACCACATGGTTGGTGGTTCAGACTCACCAGCCACCCTTAGGGTTTCCTATGCATGGTCACTTTGAGTAAGAACTGACTCAACAGCACTGAAAGACACCAACCAACCAATATGCTCTTGCTTACAACGGGAATTTACTGACCTGCTCACTGAGAGGTGGAGTCTGTGCTCCTTTCCTTTTCCTTTGAATCAATTTGATGCTATGTGGCGACTGAGGCTAGATCAGATGAGGCTTATAGCTTCTGTCTTGAAACACCTTTACAGACCACAGACCTGTACAAAAGCCCAAGGCCCTCTGTAGGCGTTCCGGCCAAAAGCCATAGGTCCCAACATACACCAGCGTCACCCACCAAGCATTCCTATCACCAGCCATGAAGCCCCGGCCTTTTGAGTTTGCTCAGCTGAGGCCTGAGACATAATGAAGCAGAGACAAGCTATCCCTGCTGCATCCTTTCTGAACTGCTGACACACACAATCCACAGACTTACCATAAGCAGGTCCCCGGGATACTTAGGACTCCTACTTGCCTTTTGGAGGAGTCCTGGTGTGGTGCTGCGGCTAATGCGTCAGACTGTAAAGTCGTTTGAACTGCAAGTCAGTGGTTCAAGCTCACCAGTTGCTCCTTGGAAACCCTATACAGGGTTGCTATGGGTTGGAATTGACTCGACAACGCTGAACAAGAACTTGCCTTTTGGAGTTCAGGTAGGCTAAGTACTGGGCCACAGTGCATCTCAGTTTGAACTGCAGGTCAGTGGTTCAAACCCACCAGCTGCTCCATAGAAATGTTATACAAGGCCGGGCCGCTATGAATCAGAACTGACACTTAACAGCTTGCCTTTTAATGTTACGTAAATGTGCCCTTAAGGAGCCCTGGTGATGCATGCAGTAGACTAAGCGGTAGACCAACTGCTAATCGGAGGCTCAGGTCCACCAACCGTATGAGAAGGTGAGGCTGTCTGAGCCCATAACAATGTCGTCTCAGAAACCTTAGGGAGCACTGCTACTCTGACCTGTAGGGTCGCTAGGAATGAGCATCAACTCCTTCGCAGTGGGTTTGTTTTTTTGTTTTGTTTGGAAACAACGGAATGTTACCGTAAAAATTCCACTTTGAACAGCTGAAGTGACTCCACAACAAATTCATCATTTCGTGTGGCTTTGTAATTGTTGAAAAGGCTTCGAGCCTTTCCTAGCACTAACACTGGTGGAGAATGTCCGGCCTGCTCACCATATGGTGGTGACTGTGTGCCATGGAGATGACTCATAGCGACCCTGTACAGGGTTTCTGAGGCTGTAAATCTTTACAGGAACAGAAAGCCTCATCTTTCTCCAATGGAACCGCTGGTACTTTCAAACTGCTGACCTAGAGATTAGCAGCCCGATTCGTAATCACTATGTTACGGGAGTTCCTTGCAGGCCATTTTGTTGTTGTTAGGTGCCATCGAGTAGGTGCCAACTCATAGCGACCTTATGCACAGCAGAATGAAACACTGCCCGAAAAGCCCCACAAAATCATTTGGTGTGGCCTTGCCAAGGCAACTGCAGTTCCAGCCATCATATTATTGTTGTGGTTAAGGGCCGTCAAGTCGGTTCTGACCCATAGCGACCATGTACAAGGTTTCCAAGGAGTGACTGGTAAGCTTGAACCACGGACCTTGTGGTTCAAACTGACTTTGCAGTCCAGCACATTAACCCACAGCGCCTCACCAGTTAATCAGATTTTTAACTCAATAATTTTTTTTGAGCAGGCTGATTTTTAACTCAATAATTTTGTATGGCTCGCAAAGGATGTTCTAAATTTTGACAGACTAAAGATTCCCCACCTCTACACTAATAGAATGCTAATTAAGAACCCTGTGCACGGGTACCAGCTCACCTACAAATTTCACTTAACGACCTAGGCATGTATCTGTTCCTAACCCTGGGGCAGCCTGTCATTTGTTATGCATTGTTGTTGCTGCTAAGTTCCATTGCGTCAAATCTGACTTTTAATGACCCTGTGTAAGGTTTCTGAGAACAGCTGGTGGGTTTGAACTGACCACCTTGTGGTTATCAGTCCAGTGCTGATCCTATAGCGCAACATAAAGACTCACTGTTATACAACAGGTACAGAGTCCGTGGAATCTTCGAGCTTTTTGGATCTGTGTGAATCTAGTCTAACTTCACTTTCCAAGGGGAAACTGATGCTTAGGGAGCAGGAAGCAGTGACACCCTGCCCACTAACCCGGAGGAGGAGTCTCCCATCACTCTCCTGACGCAACAAGGGGCACTGGCGGCGGCAAGCCTGACTGACCTACCATGGGGGCAGCAGGCGCAGCCCCTTCACCCATGGAGCCAAGGCTGTGTTTTCCTTCTCAGTGCCTAACTGTTTTGAAGCATGTAAGAAAGTTGAAAGCATATTGTAATAAGTAGTGTCCTGCCTACTTTTAGCAATTGTTAACATATTGCCATATCTGCTTTATGCATGTGTATTTAATTGTAACATGAAATCACACTATAAACACTGTAACATTTATCCTTAAATACTTCATCATATAGCCACACTATCACTCTTAACTCTAATAGCTAACATTTCACGCAAATCAGATGTCCCCCAGTTGTCCCCAAAGTGTGTTTTGACAAAAAAAAAAAAAGAAAAAAGAAAAAAATGTTCCTAAGCCAGGATCCAGTCAGGGTTCATTCAGTGCATCTGACTGTCTCTAGTCTCTGCATACATAACAGCCCCCCCAACCTCTTTGTTCTTAAAATAACATTGACTTTTTGAAGAAACCAAATTTGGTGTTGCCAAATTATCTTACAGTCTAGATTATTAATTGTTTCATCATGGTGTTTAGTATTCTTTTATATCCTTTACTTACTGTAAATTGGAAGTTATAAAGCTTTCTGATAATGAACATTTCATAGGTGATATGCAAAATATCAGATTGGTCCCTCTCCTAGTGAGATTGCCTAATTGCTTGCTTAAGGTGGTGAATAGGAGTGTTTTTTATATTCAAATATAAGATACAGGATGCCTTTTTCCAGTTCTTCACATAAGTGCAAGAACTTTTTCTGGCACAGTTGAGATGAAATAAAGACTTAAATATGTTTCAACTTCATTCTTTGAAGAGGAGGTGACAGATAGGGGGCGGAATCTCTCCTCTACCAAAACAGGATGAGTATTTCTGTGGCATCTTATAATTAAAGGATTACTGTGTGTCTCCTGCTAAATGCTCATTTATAGAACCAAGTATCAAGAGGTTTTCAAACTTTTGTTCCATAACAAGCCCTGGAATTCTACATTAATTTTTTTAGCTGAGTAATACTTGAGCACAAGGAGTTCCGGTGCTTAGTGGTTATGAATTGGGCTGCCAACCTCACGGTTATGAATTGGCTGCTAAACTACCAGCTATTCCGTGGGAGAAAGATGAGGCTTTCTGCTCCCGAAAAGATTTACAGGCTCAGATATCCTGTACAGAGTCGCCATGAGTCGGAATTTCCAACTCCACGGCACATAACCACCAACCACCACCAATACTTGAGCACAGGACTAACGGGTACTGAGGGACAAGTCCCACCCTTTTCAGCCATCAGCTACCTACCCTCTATGCTACCAATGTTAGCAATTCCTTCCACTGCCTTAAAAAGATAGAAAAAATAAAAACTAAAAAGAGCAATTAAGTCTCCTTGCGTATGTGATACTTATTAACTTTTAATTAAAAAAAAAAAAAAAAAAAGGTGGCAGGTGGCAGGGGAGGAAGGAGCACCATGGTTCCACAAGATCAGCACTGCAAACCACAAGGTCGGCGGTTGAAACCCACCAGCCACTCCCCAGGACAAAGATGAGGATTTCTGCTCTGCCAAAGATTTACAGCTTTGGAAACTGGATACAGGCTGTGG